TTTTTTTTTTTTTTTTTTTGACAAACGATGAAAAATACAAAAATGATGCACGAAGGAAGGAGAGAAAAGTGGAATGGAGAAGAAACGCGAAGAATAAACATTGCTTATCTTTAACTCTACGAATTCTAAAAGGATAACCATAATCTTCAGAAGAGAAAAAAAACAAAAAATCCAATATCTAATACTCTGTCATCCATTAATAATCTAATGTATAAATATATAATATATAATAAAATTTAAATTACTCCGACGACTCGCAACCTCGATCGTGCAGTAATAACATACGCGCATTAAGAATCCAAGGGAACGAGCGTTAAACCGCGAAATTAACTTTCGCTTAACATTCGAGAAAAATTTCGCGAGCCGTCGTTTGCATAAAGGGAGATTCGACGCGCGATTGGACGGAATTGCGCCGGAACACACAGTCGCATAAGTCGGCAAAGAGCGGGGATTCGCGAACAGCGGAAAGGGACGAGCATCCTGAAAGAGCTGTCGGTTCATCGTAAAGAAGAAAAGTCACGGCGCGTCCTTGCGCACGCATGATCATTAAGGCCATTAAGCCTTATCTGCGCGAGGGAGACGCCACTTAAATACAGGCTTTAACGCCTGGCGTGGCGCGAGAATCCAAGCGGAAACGCGCAGGATCCGCGTAAGTGTACGTATTTACACGCGTTGCCTCGACAAGAAGCGTAACGTCGCCGTGGAGTGGACAAACGTGGCCCAGTCGTCGAAAAACAACCTGCCCCGAGTCCACTAAATTCTTATTAATCTGTCCCTTAATGGCGACTATCGTGGCATTTAACGCGCTAGTTCCCGAGAAAATAGTCTCGGTAGAGGAGCGAAAATCTCCCGACTAGTGCGAAATTTATTTACTTCATTGTTGCGTCAATTTTCTCTCTTTTCTTTTGTTATTTAATGAATTTCAAGCGAATTTCAAGCGAGCTTGAGGCTCTTGAAATTCTCCCTAGAAATTTCATTTTATTCGTATTAATTACAATCGGTTTTCACAGAAATCGTTTTTTTTCTTTTTTTTTTTTTTTTAAGTTTAGATTCTTTCAAATAATTCCTTGGACACTTCTGTTTATCCTCAATTCGGATCAATTCTCCTAGAAAATATTCTTTTCAGTTTTGAATAAACTCTTTATTCTTCATTTGGATTGTATTGTCAATGAATTCAGGTCTAAATTCTTTCATTTTGTTTCTCTTATTTTTTTGAACCAATTCTCACAGACAATTGTAAGCAATTCCAACAGATACTGTCTTTATTGTTACACATTTCCTGCTTTTGTATCATTTATTAAGTTCATTACTAACACACATTACTAAGCGAATTCATGTCTGAATTCAAGTCTTGGTCGACTCAAGTAACAACTTCGCTTGCTTGGAAAGGAACTTCAAACTCAACTCGTTTAACTTCTCGAACAGTCTAAATGCACTCCAACGACAAGAGATCAATGACCACGTTCCCCGAGGGTCACCGTGTATCTCGAGAATTAATGGAAGGTTAAGTTCGTCGGATGACGTTCGTCAGTTTGCTTGTTAGTCGATTGCACAACCACACACGTCAGCCATCCAACAGACTTCTAATCTGTGCTTGACCGATTCGAAACGATCCAACGGCACCTCTCGGGGCATGACATAGGTGTTGGCTCATTAACAAACCCGGTGAGTGGTTCATTAATGAACTTTATACAGCCTGGAGTACCGTTGCTGGAGTGTCTCTGGTTGGCCAGAGATTCTCCAACGCGACACGCTTCCAATGCGATTAACAATGAAATAAGAAACCTGTTACTGTTACTTTAGTCCACTAAATAATAAATATTATAGGGAATATCGAAGCATCAAATCTCTCCCAAATGTACCTATTTCATACATGATAAAAGGATGCATGGATCAAGGAAGAAT